AGAGCGTTATTACTTTACAAGAAATTATAGCAATATATATATATATATGTAGATGTAAAGCTAATGAAAAATTAAGAATTTTATCATATTTTAGTTTAAGAATTAAGAAACGCAAGGAATTGAAATGTTTTAACAATTGTGACATTCAATAACGATGCATCTTATCATATACTTTGCTTTTATTTCTTCTGCAAATTTTTATATAATCAAATGTTATACAATAAATTTTAAGACATTTGCAACATATAGATATAAAAGGATAATTTTTGCTTCAAACTTAGCGTTTAAAACGACCGTAACCGTTAAAATGTGTTTATTTAAAACAAATAATAATGAATAATTTAAGTAGCAAAGATATGTTCATCCGGTTACGGCCTATAATTTCTTGTCAATGATAAGCCGCATATCTCTTCGAAATTTCGTATTTCAATTTAATTGCAAGCAGCTTGAATAAGTTTGAAAATATATATACACGTGAAAGAGAAGTTGTAGTTGTATTGATAATGCTCCTACTTTTATACTTCAATGTTCATTTTTTACAAATTTTTGAGATTAATATGTAAAATATTTCCATAAACCGTTATTCTAATACTACTTTGTTATTGAGTGATATTACATTTTCCAAGTAACAAAACGAAATCAAATCAATTCGAATTGAAATTGATATCTTAAAATTTATGGAAAAATGCAACTTTCAACGTCAGCTGGCACGCACATGTGGAGCCATCAGTCATTCCAAGCAGAGATGGAGATAGAAAGGACCGCAAAAATTCAAAGAGATAATAGTATATTAATTAATAATGTAAAATTAATTAACAGTTATATACTGTTATTGTTGTTGTAGCTGTTTTGTTTATTAATAATTTACTACACGAAACAGACGGGTAACATGTATTTTTGTCATTTTTATTCGAATATCTGATTCGTAAACGTAATTGTCATATTTCACAAAATAAAAAAAAAAAAAAATAAAAAAAAACCCCATAAATCTTATATTTAATCAACAATTTTAGTTGACATGATAATTATCTTACTTTGTCTCCTATATTGTTTAATAATTTTGTTTTCGTCTCGTGCGATCTATGATCCGATATCATGGCGCCCCTATTAATTGAAAAAATGGCCTATAAAATATAAAATTACTACGGGAAAAAAATAAATAAAAGAAAAAATTGAAAAAGCATTGGAGGCAATTCTTACGCTACATATTCGATTGGTAGCAACAACATTCACGTGCTAACTCCAAGGCTCCTTTCCAGTTGGTATTGTTGAAGTGCGCGTGAGAATGTTATGCCATCATTAGTGCATGTATGAGAGAGATGCGTGGGCTAAAGTTATTTCGAGCAAGCGATACTTCACACACGCACGCACACACACACCCATACACGCGCGCATAAAGGAGGATCAGAGAGCTGAGATCGAATAGAATGAAAGTAGAGGATAGAGGATCGAATTGTTGGTCCTATCTACGCACGGTCCTATCTACGCATGCGCGACATTATGGGAAATAAAACAATAAGTGTCCTTCAGACCCGGAATCTTCTTGTAGAAAAAAACTAATAGTTTACACGTAAAAAAAAAAAAGATACTAGAAAAAGAGAAATAACCTATTCGAATAGCCGGATTTTTGGTTGATATGATAATCTCTTCATGATAGAAAAAGCCGTTTTACCGGGGCACTATCAGTCGGGTTTACAAAAGAATGGTAAAAATTTTTTTTTAGACAGGTATTCAGACTTAAGTCAATAATGACATTAATTATATTTTCTTATGACACAACGACATTTCAATTTCAAATCCTCGCCTACTTTGCATTCGTCGATTAGGTACATCTATCGCATTAATTTGAAGTGCATTTTGACACATTTGAATTATCTATATTTTCTTAACATACCTATTAGATCTGGATTATTTAGATCAATGTGTTAATGAAACGAATAACAGCGCATTCGAATGACCCATTTGTATATAAAATTTATAATTTGATATGCTTGGATATAATTTTTCATAAAGATATCTTCAGACTAGTAGTGCAAATCTCCATTATAATGTATTTCTTTAGCATTAATATATTAGTATACTTTAGTCGAGGTGAATATTAATCTTCGACTTATTACTAAACAGGTATTCACAGGGGAATTTATCGTAGGTAACAGTTAAACGGCATCAGTGGTTACTATTTAAAGATGTCAAAACTGTCGGAGTTATGTTTCAAACTATTGCTTCAACTATTGCATGTTCTAACGCCTCGCATTAACGTCTCGACAAGAAAAAAGCTTTTCATTTGCCTCTTTCTCTCTCTCTCTCTCTCTCTCTCTCTCTCTTTCTCGATATCTCTTACATCTCAAAGAATACATATATCCATATACCTGACGGCATAAGATTACACGCAACACATTCGAACGCCTTAAGTGCCACTCAAGAATATGGAAACCTCTTTTAAAGAAGTAAAAATATTTTCTTGTAGTTCGTCACACTCGTCATTAAATGATCTCGAACTTTTCAATATTTACGTTCAGTGTGTTTGTGTGCGCGCGCGCGCGCGCGCTAAGAATGTACGTCATAATATTGCTTGTTCGGAATGAAGCTACTAAGAATATTTTTCGATCGTCCAAAGATTAAGTAAAATTAATTTTTGTAAACGTGCCTTTTAAAAATTTGCTCCTAATCATTGAATAAATTCATTATTTAATTCATATACGATATTATTATTAAATAAAATAACGCTCAATTTAATATGAGCACATAAATATAATGGGCTCAATTTTTTAAATAGCCGTTGTTTTAATTTTTCTGTTTTCTTTTTGGTTTTCGTTTTTTTTTCTTTTTCTAACAACCCGATCGCTTTAATAACGAAAATGACTTTTTGTTCCAACGGCAAATACTGGCCGTACTCATAAATTGTAAAACATGGTTTATGAACTTTAAGAAAACGTAACCAGGGTTAGTGATTACACGGATGGCAACTTCAGCAGTCGACTAATAATCGGCCAGGCCTGATACGTTATCCTGCGCATATAGCATCTAATGACTTAATGACGGGAATTCGCCACTTACCGACTCCTGCTCGACTCTTCCCTTTGCACACTTACTTGGCCAATTCGTGCTTCTTTATTTTACTTAGACGCGTCGTTTTCTCATGATTGCTCGTATTGGCTCTGCATAATATGTCAGCATAATGATAAAGTAATAAAAAGGTATTGCTTGCGATTTCTTCGGGACAAAAAAGGATTCGTTTAAGCCAATCGTAATAATGGCTATTTCGCGAGATTTTAATGTCAATTAAGTTTTAATTCCGGATGATGGATATTGGTTTAATGGCGTTTAACAGCAACGATTATTAACACATAATTAGCAGCGCGAATAATATACAATCTTTATAATTAATAATTAATTAATGAGCGAGTATTTTTATTCTATAATTCTCCCACCCCCTCCCCCCCTCCCCTCTCTCTCTCTCTCTCTCTCTCTCTCTCTCTCTCTCCTGCTTTAAAACACTTGTACAATATATACATTCATTTGAATTTTATTCAGTTATAGTAATGATACTTAAGTGGTAATACAATTTGAAGTGCTGAGCCATCTTTTATGTAACGTGAAAAACGATAAATCGTGGTGCATTCGCTTCAAATAATTGCGACAACGAAGCAGACGCATAGCAAACGTCGACTCGAGCACATTCGACAGATTTATTCGTTATTCGTCCTTTAATAATTACGAATTCTATTTAATATAGTCCATGAGACAGTCGCATCGAGCAAAGTGAAGTGAAAACGATAAATAATAATTGACGCTAATCGTTTCACTTATGCATCGATCCTAACTCGATAAATTCATCGTAAAATGGAGGTTAGTAGAGTTGCATTGATAATTACCGTCACTTTTATTCAATTATCGCGTAAATTTCGACATGCGAGACAAAATACAAGCACAACTTATTGATAAGGCAATATATCGTATCTTAACGGTTTATCATTATCTAGCCAATAATAATTAATAAATGAAAAAAAAAAAAAATAAAAAAAAAAAATTGTTATTAATGCATTTTGAGAATATTAATGAGTTCTTTTCAGATTTTGTTTTTGTTTAAAGTTAGAATTTTAGCCGAGAATGAGAGTGTGTTTTTTAGAATTAGTCAGTCCCTGTTCAGTCACGTAAGAGTAACTCAGATAACATTCATAATTGAATAATAATATTTAATTGTTATATTATTATTTTCAAAGGCATTAAATTTTATATAATTAATAACTTCCTCAAACATTGAATAACAATGTATTCTTAAATATTATCAAATACGTGTACCGTCCAATATTTCACGCTTTTTAATATTAACACCAAGTCTGCAGCTATGGAATATTTTTGCACATTATAGATGTGAGATATTCTGAAAGTAGAGTACATTTTCATTTCAAAGAGAATTCAATGTAAACGAAAAATGCCCAATTTGCTCTCTAATAAACTCTGAAACGTATGCTGCAAACAGGTCGTACAGCTACTTATCTTCGCACCTTATTTGCGCATGGAGTCGAGAACATGCTTAAAACAAAACTAATTTTCATAATTTTGCGTTGTTTTGGCACGACTTGGAAGACATCGAAGCTTAACTGGCCGGATTACGTCGTCATCGCCATCGTAATGCTAATCTCAGCGGGCATCGGCATTTATTATCGATTCACCGGTAATAGACAAAAAACGACGGAGGTGAGTATTAATCGGGTTGAGCGCGCCAATGAATAATAAAGAGAGCGAAAAATACTTTTCTCATCCAATATCCTCTTGGATGGCTGTCAATCGTCTCGAGCAATTAATCGTTAAAATAAAGCTGCGTCGATCCAGCGTAATACCAAACGAAACGCTCATTGATTTGTACTTGGCATCATAAGCCTTGATTCACGACTACGATATGATTTCATTTCAAGTGACATTGTCACAAACTTATTTTATAAACATCAAACTATTTGGTCTCGGCTATTCCTGATAATCTTTTGCAAATGGTTGCTCAATCATTAATTATATATAGTACTTAGCGAGAAGAATGGCTGTAAATATTGTAACCATAGAATATCGAAGCGTATGTTCGCTCATATTATCATCGCGTGACTTTAAACGATCGCGCTCACATTATATTAGCATGCGACAGAGGGTATTATTTGTTAATTTCGCCAACGTTAAAAGTTCGAAGAAATGCCCGGCAATGGTATTATCATAAATGGTAAGAGATAGGCGATTACCCTTCCATTAGATGGACATGCTCGCAGATAACAATGTTGCCAATATCACGTGCGTTAGGTTCGCGCAAATGGTACGATACACCGTATGAATTTTGCAGCCATTGTCGATGGCGATTGCTTGGAATGCCGCATTTAATCCTTAATGCCGAAGATGCATCCGAAGGACCTCGACGCTCAAATTAACGCGCGAGAGAATATCTAGTTAATAAAATTCATAATAGGCCCGATACGAAGCCACTGCCCGACACTCGCAATGTTTAGTTGTTATTGCCCGCCCAATAGGAGTACTTCTCGGCCAATAGATCGATGAGCATCGTTCCACTTGGTGTGGCCTTGATGGTCTCCTTCGTCTCAGCGATCTCAATACTGGGTATTAGCTCCGAGATTTACACCTATGGCATGCAATTCGTCATGTATTACAACGGCATGATCATGGCGACCCTCGTCGTCTCTTACGTTTACCTGCCCGTCTTCTTCAAGCTCAACACCATGAGCGTCTACGAGGTAAATAATTCATTGTATTGTCGGCATTGTGTTGTCGTTTACGTGTGCGAGTGCCAGAGGTTTTTTGCCCGATGTTTTCCAAGTGCGCGCCTTTAACGCGGCAATTTGTACGAAATTGCTCTACGTGAATTACGGGTGAAATAGCGGTGCTCATGGCCGCATGAATCACACATCAGTTGGAATAATATTTCGATCTAATAATTAAAAGCACGAGTGAATGTCGATTTAGGACGAGTATAGTCCTCGGCCAATAGACTACGTAATCATTTTAATGATCCAAGGCGTTTACGTTTCATAGTTTAAGGTCGACATTTATATTCAAGATATTTCATATAAATTAGCTTTTGTTGAGCTGGATGTCTTAATTTACATTTCAGCCGCATCCCTATTTAATCGTGCATGTTTTTTTTTTTTTTTTTTTTTTTTTTTTTTTTTTTTTTTTCAAGAAAGCCAACACCACTATGGGAAATTAACTAACCCATTAAAAATACAATAATTAAATGATTTTCTATACTTTCACGGCTAAATGTCCACTTAACATTAGCATAAAAATTGCCGATTAGACATTTTTCTTTCGACGTTCAAACGTATCTTTTGAATATCAGGAGAATAGCTAATATAATCGCAATTTGCCCAATTGATTCGAGTCGATAAAACAAAACCTGGGAAAAAATAAGAATAATCGCCACTAAAACAATTATCAAGTTAATTAAATCTTCCAAACGTTTTCCAAACTCGGACACTACTATTTTTCACGATTTTCCTCGTACTCTGGACATTCCTTCGTCCGTCGCTTTTACAAATACACCCGTAGCGTAACTTTTTCCAACGGCAGCATGCACGTTTTATTCTTTATCGAGACCGTCCATTAGTATTAGCTTTACGTACTTGGCGCACGACGCACATGACGACTCGCAATGCTTCACCCATCACCGTTCCAGATAAGCTTGCCGTGCTTACGTAAATCTTCCTTTTCAATCGCACTTACCGCCTGCAACTAAAGGCTTAAAATATTAAATGCACCGCTGCACGCCTTTCTTCTTAAAAAGCTTCGAATGCAGCGAACGCCAATGAGACGCTCGAAGGGGGCGGAAAAACGCCGAGAGCCTATGAAAATTCGCTTAGCCTTCGATATTCGACTTGACCCAGCACAACACAACACCCCCCAACACTCGAACACAACGAGCCTCCTGTATATTGAATTCCACAGTACCTCGAGAGGAGATTCGGGGTCGCGGCCCGACAACTAACGAGCCTCGCCAACTTCCTTCAGATGACGCTCTACGCGGGTGTCGTCCTCTATGCCCCATCCCTAGCCATCGAAGCGACCACGGGACTCTCGAGCAAAGCTAGCATCTTGCTGATAGCCGTGATATGCGCGTTTTATTCGTCGATCGGCGGCATCAAAGCCGTATTGGTGACCGACATCTTCCAAGCCGTCCTGATGGTCGCCTCGCTCGTTTGCATCATAGTCGTGGCCTCGAGTGACATCGACGGGGGACTCGCGAACGTATGGAGGATAGCGAGTGACAACAATCGCACCAAACTCTTCGAGTAAGTAATGTCAAAGATTGAGAAATGACGGGTAAGTTTGGAACGAGCGGCTCTCCTCGTAATTATTAATATTAAGAGCTTAAAGTTGGTCTGTACGATCGGTTAAGTGTTTTTGAAAAATCCGGTAAAGTGCCGTTTTCACATTGGGCGTGTTAACGAAACTTTTCACCACTGTAAAATGTAAAAAACATCACGATGATTTTATATTGAAATATCTTAAACAAATTTTTACAGTCCGAGTTATGATTAAATAATGTCGGACTGTCTGTATACGGTTAATTAAAAAAAAAAAAAAAAATATTTACAGCTGACGGTAAGTAGTTTTGAAGAGCTTTTTCTCTTATTTATAAAGCTCCGCTATAAGCGATTACCCCATCTCCTTCACAAGACATTTACAAGAAAATATTTTAGCTTCCGAGCTGATCCAACAATACGTCAGACCTTTTGGTGTCTACTGTTTGGTGGATTTTTCTTGTATTGCTCGATGTATGGTGTAAACCAAGTTGAAGTTCAACGACTAAAAACGGTGAAGTAAGTTTTTCTTTATTATTTTCTTTTCTTCTTCTTCTTCTTCTTCTTCTTCTTCTTCTTCTTCTTCTATTCTTATTCTCATTGAGAAAATTCATCCGGAAAAATTGCTTACGTGATTGGAGATTAAAGTTATAAAAATTTCCATAACCGAACGACAATTGAATAAAATTGTTATGAAATTCTAAAAAAAAAATTCATCTTTTTATTAAGGGAATAGAGCATACGAGGATAGACGAAGATATAAAATATAATTGGCAATGAATTGTTTAAGCATGCATTATTTACTCAAACGAAATGGAAATATATTTATTAATATTCCATGTTGCACCCACGTAAACGTTGCTCTCGGTTAAATTACTCGGCATTGATCATTTTAAACTCAGAATTCGTCGAAGATCGAGGAGAAAGTACGGGGAACGACAAAAAGTACTAACGATTATAAAGAAACTCTGTACAATAATGACGAAAGCTGCCGATACCGAGACTTTATTCACGTTCATTATTCTCTGCTCAGAACCTTGAAATCGGCTCGTCTGGCGCTGTACCTCAATCTACTGCTGATGATAGTCTTCGGACTAACAATCTCGTTCTGCGGCCTCGTGCTCTACGCCGTCTACAAGGACTGCGATCCCGTACGAGTCGGCAGTATAAGCTCCTACGATCGCTTGATGCCCTACTTTGCCGCGACGAAGATGTCCGCGTACCCGGGGCTCACTGGCCTCTTCGTCGCGGGCATTTTCAGCGCCAGCCTCAGCACGATATCGGCCCTCCTCAACTCCCTCGCCGCTGTTATAATCGAGGATTACCTTAAGCGCATCTACAGCTGCCTCGGCAAAAGCTTCCCCGTCGAGAAAACGGCACTCCTCGGCAAGATCTTGGTGATTATCAATGGCTGCGGAAGCGTAGCCATAGCTTTCCTAGCTGGAAGTCTGGGCAGTTTGGTACAGCTTACCGTGTCCATTACGGGGACGATTTGCGGCCCAGTCCTCGGTATCTTTACATTGGGCTTCCTGTTCGAAAGAGCGAACGAGAAGGGGGCGGTTACCGGCCTACTGACATCCTTGATCCTATGCTTCTGGGCGAGTTTCGGTCAGCCACGACCCAAGAGCACGCCACCTCTTCCGGTTTCTACAGCTGGATGCAATTACACAATCTCGCCTATATTGCCTAATATTACCTCCCTCCTGTCCGTTCTCGAGTGAGTATTTTTTTTATTGGGGGGGGGGTCTTTATCGCGGCTTTCCTCTTTTAGGGGAAAAACGATCGATTGTTTTATTAATTTTAGGTGCAACAATATTTTTACAAACTTTTCAAATAAAAATAAATAAATATATATATATATATATATATATATATATATAGACACACAGAGAGAGAGAGAGAGAGAGAGAGAGAGAGAGAGAGAGTGAGAGAGAGAGGGAGAGAGACAGAGAGAGAAATTTCATAAGTAAAATATTCAAAGTTTTTGTAGTAATATAGCTATTATGATTTTTCATATTTTGATTCATAAACGATCTTTCTCATATACACTAATAATTGTACTCAATATTGAAAAAAAGAAACTTTCTATAATATCTTGCTTAGTGGTTAGTTAAACAAGGCATAAAATTAAATTACAATATACAAAAAATAAAGAAAATTCTATGCTAAACTTACGTAAATATAATTTCGTTAAAACTTAAATAAAAACGTTCAATTTTGATTTAATTATTTTCAACAGATATGTCTTAACTTGTAATTATTTTTCTGATTATTAAGTCGGATTAACGTGCATAGTAAAAAGTATTTAATAAAGTAGAATAGTCCGTTTAACGTTACGACCGAGTCATTAAGCTGTCAACTGAAAGTCTCGTAAAATCGAGTAGCCACGATCGTCGTTCGCAACATTGCAAATAGGTTAATTGCAGACTTCCCAGTTGCAAATAATAAAAGTTCCAGAAAAAGGGCCGTGTCAAGTAAAATCCAATGTACATTGTTGAGCTATCATTCGAGCTAATTCAAATGCTTTTAAATCTATACAATTGAATACGGAGCCGCGCTGTATAAAAAACAAAAAACAAAAACAAAACAAAAACAAAACAAAAAAAAAAACAAAAAAAAAACGAAAAAAAGGTGCAATGTCCCGGAAATCCGGAACTCTTTGTAACGATATTTCTATAAAAATCCCTAGCTTCGGTAGATGCTAGTTGCTTTTCTAATAAATAGTCATTTAAACGTACAATTGACGCTTCGTTTCTAATATCAAGACTATCGTTTTATTACTCTACTTCTTATCTTCTCCGTACCAACTCCATTGCTTTTTATCTACCAGTCAATCTAATAATTAAGCATCTCTATTATTATCATCATCATCATCATCATCATCATCATCATCGTCGTCGTCGTCGTCGTCGTCGTCGTCCAATTATTTCATTGTCATAACGTGCGTATTATTGTTTGACAGGAAGTACAAGCTAAGAAGGTACGTACATTGGATTTTTAAATAAAGTACCGAAGCCAACATGAGAAATCGAAAATTTGAAATCACTCCTCTGGGATCGAGTCATCGAACCCAAATGTATGATAACGCTCTATCATTGTTCAGGAAACGCACGATGCCAAGTATCGGCCTCTCCTAATTATTTTTCCTTCGCGCCACTTTCCACAAAACACAATGCCCCCGCTTCTCTCGCTTTAAAGGCCAGTAAAATCCTTCGCTTAGCGTCTCATTCATCGTTCAACGAAATTCAAAAAATAAAAGCCACATAAAATCCCCGCATTCATGAGATTTGAGGGCGAATGGATCATGACAAATCGGAGCTAACGAAACTCGGAAAACGTGTGTTGGTAGGACCTCGGAGGAGCAGCCGAGCAACTACTTCTACCTCTACCGCATCGCCTTCATGTGGTACAGTGTGATCGGAACGATAACTACGATCGCGGTGGGCTACTTGGCGAGCCTCGTCTTTCGCAAATTCTCCAGCGAGTCAGCGCTCGAGCTCGATCCTTGCCTCTTCGCGCCCCAGGTGGCACGGAGAATACGGCGCCGACGCGCCGACGCCGCCAAGGTCACCAGCAGCCAACTCTTCGTCCTCGACGAGTACAAGCTGGAGAAATGACTGCGGCGTGACGAAGGCGCACCTGGGGAGATCGAGATCGGCAAACTCGCCCACGGCAAGCCGCCCGTGGATCTCTGGCAGACCGACACCTCGCATAACGGCTTCTTCGACTTTGGCGCTGACGGCGAGTAGAGAGGGTAGCCCTCTTCTTTTCGTTCTTTTTCTTTTTTTTCTTTTTTGTTTAACAGTCAGGCGCCACCGTTCA